CAAAACGAACCAAACCAGAGCCAGCCAAACCAAAGCCAGCCCACATCTAAACACTTCTGCATTCAGGCTTGTTGCTATAAACACGCCTTGTGAAAGTCATGTCTAGAAGCTTGCGAGAGCCAAATTAACGTTTGCGCTGGGGGGTGTCTTCGGCCGGAGGGCCTTCTCATCGTTTCTATTCTCGACGTCGGGATGTCATGGTGTTACAGGAAACAGGCTTTGGTGTTACTATAAACAGGCTTTGTGAAAGTCATGTCTAGAGTCTAGAAGCTCACCAGAGCCAAATCAGCGTTTGCGTTGGGGGGTGTCTTCGGCCGGAGGCCTTCTCATTGTTTCTATTCTCGACGTCGGGATGTCATGGTGTTACTATAAACAGGCTTTGTGAAAGTCATGTCTAGAAGCTCACCAGAGCCAAATCAGCGTTTGCCGGAGCGTAGAGGCTGCATGGCGACAAACCCTTTGCTAGAAAGATCTAGAAGCTTGCAAGAGCCAAATCAGCGTTTGCGTTGGGGGCTGTCTTCGGCCGGAGGGCTTTCTCATTGTTTTTTCAGGCTACATGGCGTCAGACCGGCCCCGCCAAGGACATGAATGAGGCCTTCAGCCGTGGCAGGGGCCTCCCAGGCCCTTGGGCCTCTCCAGGGGCCTTGCAGAGGCCTCAAAGGCCTCCCACGGACCTCGAATCCAGGGGTCTCCCAGGGGCCTCCTCGGGGCCTCCAGGGGCCTCCCAGGAGAGAAGGAGAGGGGTGGCGGGCGGGTATAGGGTTTAGGGTTTAGGGTTTAGGGTTTAGGGTTTAGGGTTTAGGGTTTAGGGTTTAGGGTTTAGGGTTTAGGGTATAGGGTAGGGTTTAGGGTTTAGGGTTTAGGGTTTAGGGTTTAGGGTTTAGGGTTTAGGGTTTAGGGTTTAGGGTTTAGGGTTTAGGGTTTAGGGTTTAGGGTTTAGGGTTTAGGGTTTAGGGTTTAGGGTTTAGGGTTTAGGGTTTAGGGTTTAGGGTTTAGGGTTTAGTTAGGGTTTAGGGTTTAGGGTTTAGGGTTTAGGGTTTAGGGTTTAGGGTTTAGGGTTTAGGGTTTAGGGTTTAGGGTTTAGGGTTTAGGGTTTAGGGTTTAGGGTTTAGGGTTTAGGGTTTAGGGTTTAGGGTTTAGGGTTTAGGGTTTAGGGTTTAGGGTTTAGGGGGGTTAGGGTTTAGGGTTTAGGGTTTTTTAGGGTTTAGGGTTTAGGGTTTAGGGTTTAGGGTTTAGGGTTTAGGGTTTAGGGTTTAGGGTTTAGGGTTTAGGGTTTAGGGTTTAGGGTTTAGGGTTTAGGGTTTAGGGTTTAGGGTTTAGGGTTTAGGGTTTAGGGTTTAGAACGCGGTTTGGCTTCTTGGAAGGTCTCGGAGGTGGATACTAAACCCTCCGCACCCTGAACCCTGAACTAGGATGGGCCTGAAAACCCTCTGAAAAATATTCCTAAATCTGGCCCTCTGAACGCCACTAAGGGAAGATAGTCTTCACTATGCTCCTCTTAAACCCAATAAGGGAAAATGTTCTTCAATAATCTCCTCTTAAGCCCGAATTGGGAAAAATCCTCCTAAATATGATCCTCTAAAACCCAATACGGGAAAACATGGAATATCCCGAGGGCCTGCCTAGTGAGCCTTAAACCCCAAAGCAGCAGCTTTGGGGCGACTCACTGTGCCTTCTTCCGAGGAAAGCAAAATGTCCGCGTCTCCCGATTCAGGCCTAAGCCCTTAAACTCTACACCCTCAACCCTAAACCCTGAACCAAACATTTAGTGATTTTATGACATTGTAAAAGCCCGCGACATCTGAGGGCCTTGCCATTTGTCCCACGAATCGCCAGCAAGAGAAGCCTGAGCAATCGATATTTGATCTTAAGCCCTCAGAACCCAAGCTTCGCCCCTAGACAAAATTTAGGGATTAGGGGTTAGGGTTTAGGGGGTAGGGGTTAGGGGTTAGGGGTTAGGGTTTAGGGTTTAGGGTTTAGGGTTCAGGGTTAAGGGTTTAGGGTTAAGGGTTAAGGGGTCAGGGCACAGGGTTTGGACCCTGAGCTTACGCAGCTCACACACCCCCTCCGCATCGACTCAGCGTGTGCTTTTGGGATGTTCGCCCGTATACTGTTTACGGTTCAGGGTTTAGGGATTAGGATTTAGGATTTAGGGTTTAGGGTTTAGGGTTTAGGGGTTAGGGTTTAGGGTTTAGGGTTTAGGGTTTAGGGTTTAGGGTTTAGGGTTTAGGGTTTAGGGTTTAGGGTTTAGGGTTTAGGGTTAGGTTTAGGGTTTAGGGTTTAGGGTTTAGGGTTTAGGGTTTAGGGTTTAGGGTTTAGGGTTTAGGGTTTAGGGTTTAGGGTTTAGGGTTTAGGGTTTAGGGTTTAGGGGTTCACTGCTCTCCGAGCAGCCGCTGAGCACAATGCCGGCCTGGATGCCCATGGGCCGGGTCCAGATCTCACCTTCTTGGTGAAACGAGGGCGCTTTCAAGGGTTTAGGGTTTAGGGTTTAGGGTTTAGGGTTTAGGGTTTAGGGTTTAGGGTTTAGGGTTTAGGGTTTAGGGTTTAGGGTTTAGGGTTTGGGTTTTTGGGGTTTGGGGTTTGGGGTTTCAGCTTGAGACCCTGAACCCTCCTTAAACACCCCACCTTCAAACCCCCCTTGAGCCCCCCGTAAACCCCCCCTTAACCCCCTGAAGCCCCCCTAAAACCTCCAACCCCCTTAAAGGACCTTAAACCCCCTGAGGTCTACGGCTGCAGGGTTTCGGATTTGAGACTTCAAGGGGTCAGGGCCATGAGCGACGTTGGGGCCAAGATGGCGAACGCCAAACAAGCATGAACAAAGGCCAGGGATTTAGGGGTCTTCTGCTTTTGCTCGCAGGGCGGGGGGGAGAGGGTGTGGTGAGGCTTATCTCAGGAGCTCAGAACAGGGCCGAGGGTTTGGGGTGTCACGGTCGGACCCGAAGGCTGCTGGGTTTAGGGCTTGGAGCTTCGGGCTTAGGGTTCAGGATTTAGGGTTTAGGATTTCAGGTTTAGGGTTTAGGGTTTAGGGTCTTTTAGGGTTTAGGGTGTAGGGTTTAGGGTTTAGGGTTTAGGGCTAGGATTTAGGGGCTGAAGCTTCTTGCAGACCCCGCCGCATCGCCCGCGGCCGTCGTACTCGACGCCCTTGCAGTCCGCCACCTGCTGGCACTCCTCCTGGCACTGGCCCAGGCTCCGGATGCCTCTGGGCTTTAGGGGTTGAGGGTTTAGGGTTTAGGGTTTCGGGTTTAGGGTTTCGGGTAGAGGTGGTCATGGGCAAGCCAACTTCAGGCTTGAGAAGGTTAAGGCTTGGCTTTTGGGGATGGAGGATTGGGGGGGGGGGGGGGGGGGGATGGGATGGAAAACTTTTGAGGTCACACTCCTCAACACCAACCGCACCCACCAACCACCCGTAAGTTGACGCTGCAGACCGGTTGGACATGACAGGCTTTACATACACGTTATCAGAAGTAGCATACCTGGCATGCGTGTATGCACGATTGCTTCCTTAACCAGGATGTCTTTCAAAGAACGGACAGCTGCAGCTGCCTCCCAGGACCCGGTAGTAGGCGGCCGAGTTGTCAGCTGGAGACGCGCCCCGGCAGGCGCGGCTGAGGCCGCCATCCACAGGCTCAAAGCAGCCCGCTCGCGGGGGCGACGCGAAGCGGAGGCACCAAAAGTTGGGCAGTGCCGTGCTGCTCTGGATGCCCTCACTCCGGGTCCAGATCTCACATCGGCTTCCAGAGAACTCCACGCCCACACAGTCCTCCCTGCTTTCACATGCCGTCTTGCAAGCCTCCAGGCTTTGGGCGCGCGTGACGGTGTAATAACTGGCAGAGTTGTCTCCCGACCATCTTCCCCGGCATGCGCGGCCCTCTCCGCCATCCACGGGTCTCCACTCCTTCACGGGAGGCAGGGATGTTTGCGGTGGGGAGGTGCTTGTCAAGGCGGTCGTCGACGGGGTGCTGGTGGTGCTGGTGGTGCTGGTGGTGCTAGTGGTGCTGGTGGTGCTGGTGGTGCTTGTGGTGCTCGCAGTGGTTTTGGAAGTTGAAGGGCCCGAGGCGACCGTGCAAGAGCTTCCTGTGGGAACAGGCCAGGAATCAAAGCAGTGGAAGGAGATGATGACTCCGGTGCTCAATGTCACAGAGAAGGAAGCAGCATCCGAGTTGCCGGCTGTGCTGGCGGACCATGTGGCGCCACTCACCCTCGTCATTGCGAAGACACTCGTTCCCAACAATAGCTCCACCTCTGTGACAGCAGCAACAAAGTTCGAGAAGACCACCTTGGTGTACCAGGCGTTGCCGCCGTCGAGCACCGTCGCCACCGGCAATGTGCCTTCCACATCACACTCCACCGGCTCGTACGTGATGGGAAAAACTCCGGTGGAAGCCCCGGTGATTGCTTTGAAAGCTGTTAGGTGGCAGTCGAAGGCCTTAGCGCTCCCGGAGTCGACAACCTGGACCACCAGGCTACCAGGCAGCCCCGGATCGGTGGCAGGGCTTCCATCGTACGCCACGCGCCAGCAGGAGCCGCAGGCGGCACCCGAAGAGTAGAGGGCGCTGTCCACCGCGCAGTAGCTTTGGGAGCTGATGTACGGGCTGGATGCAGCCGGTGAGCTGAGTCCCCCATTTGCCGCATTCGCATACTCGCAGGAGCCTCCGACAATCGTGGTGGGGCTGTCAGCCCACATCGTCATGAGCCCAGCCGAGTGCAACTTGGAACGCGCATGCCGAGCCTGCAGCATGAAGGTGCCTGCTGTGCGCGATGGACATGTCTCGTTCTTTGCCTGGGCGCAGGCCTCAGCGGAACTCCAGGGAATTAGGCGAGCAGGGCAAGAAGTCCCAGCATGGCTCAGCATGTGTGACAAGAAGCACCCTAACCCTAAACCCTAAACCCTAAACCCTAAACCCTAAACCCTAAACCCTAATTCAGCCTGGCTGCATCACTCGCCACGGCGCATAAAGAGGTCAGCAGCACGCTGATGGTGACAAGGGCATGCCTCGGCCCAACACGGAGAGCCTGAGCCCTAAACTAAACTCAGCCAACCCTTTAGGGTTTAGGGTTTAGGGGTTTAGGGGTTTAGGGGTTTAGGGGTTTAGGGGTTTAGGGGTTTAGGGGTTTAGGGGTTTAGGGGTTTAGGGGTTTAGGGGTTTAGGGGTTTAGGGGTTTAGGGGTTTAGGGGTTTAGGGGTTTAGGGGTTTAGGGGTTTAGGGGTTTAGGGGTTTAGGGGTTTAGGGCTTAGGGTTTAGGGTTTAGGTTTTAGACCAAACATCAAAACCCCGAACCCCTTGACGCTGATCCCCCCTGAGCACAAGCAACCCTAACCCCTAAACCCTAAATCCTAAACCCCAAACCCTAAACCCTAAACCCTAACCGCTCGGACCAAAGCGCTTGGCCATGGCAGCGTTTGGAGTGGGCCCGAGATGCGTGCTTCAGTTGAGCCGCTGCAGCTGGCCCTACACACTTGTTAAGACTAAGTAGAAAAACCTACAGTAGTAATCAAAAATGGGGAATAATAGTGGTAAGGACAGGTAGTTCCAGCAATGGTAAGACCAATAATACCAGCAAAACGGCAAATCTTAATCGCAAGTATAGCTGTGTTAATTTCGTAATAATAGTGACAAGAAGCATTGGCAAAGGCACCAGAAAGTGACGTTTCTGAGTCCACGGCTGATGCTGCTCTGAACTCAAACCCATCAGAGCATGTCGTGTTCTTGCTGCGCATAGGACCCATCACGATGTCTCTGCTGCTGCAGTGCTCACGCCCTACTAGACCTGAAACTCTGAGCCCTGAACCCTAAACCCTAAACCCTAAACCCTAAACCCTAAACCCTAAACCCTCACACCTTCAATCAAATGCCCGAAGCCGGCCTGCTCAGGCCCTTGGCCTCTTTCCCACGCCGCTGTCTCCTGTCCGACGGGAGACTTTGAGGCTGAGGGTTTGGTAGGATCTAGGGGTTCGGAGGTTTAGGGGTTTAGGGGTTTAGGGGTTTAGGGGTTTAGGGGTTTAGGGGTTTAGGGGTTTAGGGGTTTAGGGGTTTAGGGGTTTAGGGTTTAGGGTTTGGGGTTTGGGGTTTAGGGCTCAGGGCTTAGGGTTTACGGTTTAGGGTTTGGGGTTTAGGCTTTAGGGTTTAGGGTTTAGAGCTTGGGGTTATACCCCTTAGGATCGACGAATTTCGGCCTTAGGAGGGAGATAAAAGTGTGGAGCTTGCCCTAAACCCTAAACCCTAAACCCTAAACCCTACACCCTACACCCTAAACCCTAAACCCTAAACCCTAAACCCTAAACCCTTTGGGCTTCCAGGGCGTCACCTGGCCAGCGTCACAGCACGCTCGATGGCATCGAGGTCCTCCGGAAAAGCCCAGTGCTTTTTTAGGGTTTAGGGTTTGAGGTTTAGGGTTTCGGGTTGAGGGTTTAGGCTTAGGGTTTCTTTCTTATACTGACAACCTTTTTTCTTTCCTTGTCCTCTCCTAGGGAGGTCCCTTGGTATGGGCCCGTAAAAGGAGATCTCTTAAGATCTTATATACCCCTTGGTTTAGGACTTGTAGGATTAAGGCTTCTTCGACTACATCCGACACCCAAAGGCCCAAAGCTGTAACCACCCCCCCCCTCCCCGTAAGTCACTTGAAACATGCTGCCGGTTCGCACCTCACGCTCCAGCTTGCTGCGCCCCTGAAGGCGTCCTTCTACCTCGGAAGCCGTCTAGCCTCTACTCGGTGGGTTCTTGTAAACAACTGCGCGCGCCGAATCGAGTGATTCCCAAACAATCTGCGCAGAACCTGTAGGTTCACACTTCGTCTGCTTCGCACAACAGCCCATACCGGTACGATTCGCGCCACTTAAAAATGAAATCAGCTCAGACCCTAGACCCTAGACCCTAGACCCTAGACCCTAGACCCTAAACCCTAAACCCTAAACCCTAAACCCTAAACCCTAAATCCTAAACCCTAAACTCCAACCCAAACCACACAAGTGTGAGCCCTGCTCTCTTCGATGCAGGGCCTGGCCTCAGCGTCGATGAGCGCCTTGCAGTCGGAGCCCAACCGGCATGTCAGGTGCTCCTTCAGGCGCAGACAAGAAGGTTTAGGGTTTAGGGTTTAGGGCTCAGGGTTTAGGCTTTAGGGTTTAGGGTTTAGGGTTTTTAGGGGTTAGGGTTTATAGGGTTTATCGGGGTTATGGAGTTTATAGGGTGTATAGGGTTGAAAGGGTTTATCGGGTCATTGGAGGTCATTGGGGATGATCTGGGTTTCTTCTGGGAGCAGGTAGAAAGCCACTTCAACATGACTTGCTGGAAGAGGCGATTACAACTATACCCTAAACCCGATACCCTAAACCCGATACCCTAAACCCTAAACCCTAAACTCTAAACCCTAAACCCTAAAGGCATGCTGACTGCTGACGTCCCTTGCAGCCTGGTAGGCTTGCAGCAGGGTTGAACTGCTGCGGCAGCGTGGGTCCTTGAGAAGGTTCACCGCTTGGTCGCGAGAGCCACGAGCTTTGGCCAT